ACACTGGAAAATGGCTCTTAAGCTTTTGGGAGCCAAAGTCCCTGAGTTAGACAGCAAGGGAACTCGTGGCGAAGCTCAGCAATGTTAACCTCAGAGGTGAGAGGGGCAAGCGTGTTTGCCGTGTTGACAACCCTTTTACTGTGTGGGTAGACTGGGAAGGGAGGAGCAGGAAGTAGAAAAGAATTTGGCCAAGACCTAATAGCCCTGATAGGGGGATGAGGTGGTTATTAATAGCCTGGGATTTCGACGGAGAAAGCAATTTTAATGAAAATATAGAAAGCTTGCGTAGTTATTGACCTAGCCGCTGTTCCCATGGAGTTTGATATCTTTTTGCTCCTATGATGGGGATCTAGGGGAAAAGGAAGAATTTTCCCTAGCTTTTATCATTTCCCTAGGCTTTCCTTGTATTGTTGTAGCACATTGACATTGTGCTAAAATAAATCCTCAGTGCTCACATGCATGCGTGAATAAATGACATTGAATTCAAGGGGAGGACTTGTCTATAAGCAGATGAAGGCGAGTATGGAACTGCTTCTGAAATCCAGAGTGGGTTCCCAAAACAATGTTACGGTAAAGTGCATATTAGCTCTTTTCCGGACCTCTTAACTGCATATATCTCAGCACGTCACTGTAAATTTTGTCTCGTGATGAGGTGCATAAGGAACAGATGAGAAGTATCTTGAACCAAACGCCTTGAATCTGTGAGTATCTTTGGGCAGTATAGACAGGAGAGCGTGTGGCTGTTTATTCTGCTATATCCTGACTTAATTGAATGTTTGACTGTTAAGCTATGTGATACCTGTAAGCATCTGTGTTTTGATAAATAAACTGCATTCATCCTCTGTCAGTAACATCCTTTTCTCTTCTTCCACCAACACTGATGTTTCTAAAGTGCTTTTCAAATACCTGCTAGTGAAGAAAGCTTGGTCATGCAGTGGTTGTATCATATCATCTCGGTCTTGCTTGTGCCCTCTCCTAAAGTTTGAAAATCCGGGATTAGCTGCTTGTATATAACAGTGTACAAATACATGGGTGTCCGCGAAGGTGTGCGGTGCGTATTGACGTGCGTACAAAACCGGGTGTCAGTAGCAAAAGCCTGGATAACCCCTCACCGTTTATCTCTAGGACAGAGTGCAGTCTGTGATGCACATGTTTGTTCGTTCAGCCCTCTTCCCCCAGCTTTATCGGTATCTGTGCTATTTATTCAAATGTATTCTTTGTACTTATCTGGGGAGATGAGCACATCACACAGCTTTCTCGGTTTTATGAGAGTTTCAGTAACAAGTTAGTACAGGGTGTTTGTTAAGTTTCTAAGTCACACAAAAAGAACACGCTGCCAGCAACATCTTCTCATTTCTGAGTCTCTTCCAGCACAGGCAGGTCTGCTGAGAATATAGGAAAGCTTACATACGGCCCCCTCCAAGCCCACAGTCTTGTGGGGAGATGACTCAAGTGTTGCAGGTATCCAAACAATTGCTAATCTGGGCATACGCTGTTCTCTTGAGAAAGTCTGGAGAGTTTTGGAGCAGTGGAGTTTTGTTTTGTTCTCCGAATTTCTCCTGGACAACCGTACTTGATCTGACAAGAGTATTTTATAAAATAGTGTATAGCTTGGAACAAAATTGCGTGCCCCGTACCTTTAACACTTGCGTCTGATAACATTTGCCTTCTCTTTCTGGTGGTCTTCAAATTTAAAATATTAAAGCATATGTGCAAGCGTTCTCTTGTAGTCAAACACTTGTGTTAACTTTGCAAAAACATTTCATCCTACGGTTTTATAATCGCTATCAAAGAGAATGAGACCTTATTATCCTTCTGCTGTCCACTTGACCCTCTCTGGTTTTGTGGCGTGCGATTGTTTGAATAACCATAAACCATAAAATAACCATATTGATATACTGGTACAGGTTTGGGAGCTTTAAATGGGCTTGGTACTTCCTGCATTCACAGGCAGGGGTGTATATGCCTGAGATAAAAGCATGGATGTCTTAGCCCAGTATAGCATTGCAAAGTGTTACTGTCTAATTCCTTTATCCCAACAAACAGGACAGCAACACCAGGGTGTTGGCCTGAACACTTGGGTGTGCCCTGGCAGACGAATGACATACCACAGAGGAGTGACCGCATCGGCTTAATCCTAAATGAGTCTCTCCTAGACACTGTACCGACACCATCGGAACAAATCATCTGGCTGTGCAAGTTGCTTTGCAGTATTGCAGAGCAAAATACTCCTCCGGCCTCTGCGCTAACAACACTTCGTATTTAGCACAGCTGTGTAAAAAGAAAAGAAATAATCCACGCGCTGAAATCAGGCTGTCGTGTTGCTTTGATCTATTAACTGTTAATTATTACACTCCCGCTTTTGGAGAGCTGTTGCTAAAGATGTTGTTTTTGTTGAACAGAGGCGCTGGGCACAGCGATGCTCCTGCGTCGAGTAGGAGCCAAACCAGCCCAGCGTGACTGTTCTGCCATGTCCTGACTTAGCTGAATAGCTGACTGTTAAGCTACGTGATATCTGTAAGCGTCTGTTTTGATAAATAATCGTTCGGTTTACTGTCAGTAAATACTACGAGGTGTGAGATTAATATTTCACAGTGGCTCAGTATCTGTGTTTTGCTTTCACTTGTTAACTGCTAGGTCTGCGCTTCTTTTCACAGTTCAGCTTTCAACTGAATTACAAAGAAGTTTTGCTGTCTCCAGTCTTTTTTTTTTTTTTTTTTTTCTTCCTCCCTTTGTTTTCCATGTTCTCTTTGTTTTAAATGTAGATAACCAATAAGGTGTCTTTTATTCCTGTTACAGAATTTTCTCTTTCCTGGATGTGGTCACTCTGTGTCGTTGTGCTCAAGTTTCCAGGGTAAGAACCTTCCTCCTTGCTGGTGGATTTTAACAGTTGATTGGATTTGGGTGACAATCCACTCGCTCCAGCCTTCCCTAGCATGTCAAACCGGGAGGATTTGTACCAGGGAGCTTTGTGCAACTCAACTATTGTTATTTAGCGTCCCGTATTAACGCCGTGATACCAGAAACTTCTGACGGCACCAGTGAAGGGGGGCTCAAAGCCTGAATACCGCTTTGCCAGTGTCCCGGGCCCTGTTGCTGACTTTTTGCCCAAGAACTCTCCAGCCAGCCTGGGTTTGTACAGGAGGCCTGTGCTGATGAAAATACTAAGCTTGGATGAGTCTAAAATGGCATCTTGGGGGTTTTGGTGGGGATATAGAAGTTTTGATTCACAAAGATGCAGCGCAATCAATGAAAGTTTACTTTCCTACTTGGATGTAGTTGAAGTAAGCGTAAGTAGCTCATAGTTTTTGTGGGCTTCAGCTAATGAAATCCAGCTTGGATTATTCGCTTGGAAAAATCCTCCAACTGCAGGACCAGTTATTAGAGCTACCAGATTTGTTCAGATACTTTATCCTGCCGGTATCTAAGACACACGGAGGAAGCGTTACTACAGCAGGAGAGGGAAGTGGGTTACACGGGACGGTGTTTGTAGTGGTGCGTTCACCGTACTGGCTGAGCTGGTGCTGAGTGGCACCCGTAGAAAACCGATCAATCCTGGGTTCAAACTTGAGCCATAACTTGTTTCATTATTCAGAGTACATAAGAATAAAAAAGACCATGCTTAAACATTTTTAATTGCATTGAAAATATCCTGTGTGATGCCTAGGCATTACGGTTATCATCCCAAGTTTTCTGAATGACATAGGTCTTCTAGTGAAAGATCTTCCAGCTGAAATTCACTTCTCCAGCAGAACAATATTGACCAAAATGGGCTGTCAAAAGAAGATACTTGCCAATGTCAAGGTGTACTTCCATTTTTGTCCCTTGCTCCTGTACACAGTCCGCGGGGCATCAGAGAACATATTATTCATTATGTGACACAGCACGTATTGTAAAGGACTGAAGTATCTGCATGGAGCTACAGAAAGGCAATGTAATGTTGCCTACATTGCACATTAAAATATGCTGTGTTTATAACTTGCATCTACTGATGCATTTCTTTTCCACTGGAGCTATTACTTTTATCATGGCGATAACTAGACCTTAAAACAGATATCAGCGATGAGATTTAAAATGCAGAACATCGATTAATGCCACAGTTCTGTCAGCTGTTCTAAGTCTATACGTGGCTTGCACAAGAACTAGGATATTGGGATGGAGATGTAGGTTAGTGCATGTAATAGATGTAGTATAAAAATATGCCTGCATACATATACATGCACTCTTTCATAATGATGGACTCATGGTTATTATGAGATCTGGTTGTTTACTTTGATTATGTAATTAAAGCTTCAAGTATAGTACTGTGTTGACAACCTTTTTCATTCATTAAGGGCAGAATTGCTAACTTTCAGTTCCTGGTTCTCATTTGTAGCATGAACCACATGAGATTTTGTTGGTTTGTTTAAAAAAACCAAACCAAACACTTAAGTCAGTGGTAGTAAACACTGTCCCTCTGGCAGTGGTGCATAGTTCTCAGGTAAGAGCTGGATGCTTTATCTGGACAGCTTGCAAAGCTTTGAATTTCTCCATCGGTGGGATGCAGCACCCCCTTGAACATCTCTTTCTGCTGGAGGCAAGAGAGAGGGGTGTGCAAGGTGATGGCCTCTCCCACCACGTATGGGATCTCGCCGCATAGTCCTCCACGCCCTCAGGCAAGCTGCGCTTCTCTTGTCAGCGTAGATGCCTGGTGTAGGGTCTCCCCTGGGGCTCGCCCGTGTCCTGGTATCCTTCATGTTGGTCCCACTAGCGTCCTCCAAAGGCGTTGGTTTAGCTGGTGATGCTGCGGAGGGGACTGAGATTCCAGCCAGGACTGCGAAGACGCCCACGCTCCAGCGCTGCCTGGTGCCGTGGGCTCAGCACCCGTGCCTCCCGTGGGAGCAGAAGTGGCTGGGCACCGCGGGCTTGCCCGCTTTGGGGGCTTGCCCGCTTTGGGGGCTTGCCCGGAGCGGGCCGTGTAGCTGAGGGCACTCTTCTCCGAGCAGGCGATTCTGGTAACTGCACGGTTGGCTGTAATTACTTGTTGCTTTTACATCTGAGACGGAATGTTGTTTCTGAAAGGACCAAATTGTAACTAGGTCCTCACTGGCATGTGGGGGGTTTTTTTTTGGTTTTGGTTGGTGGTTTGTTGTTTTTTTTTTTTTTCTTCATATTAACAACACATTTACATTTTTTTCCCCAATAAAGGCATGGAATGTTCTGGCCCTGGATGGCAGTAACTGGCAGCGAATTGACCTGTTTAATTTCCAGACGGATATTCAGGTATAATTAAATGACATACAAACCCATTTTTCTTGTTAAAAATGTAATTACAGCCTAGAATGGCTTAATACTCCCAGCGTAACCCTTTTTACCTTCCCTAGAGATAGGAACCATTAATTTCAGTTCTTCTTAGCTTCAGGGAGTCTTTAAAGCCTTGGCAATCCATTCAGCTTTTGAAAATGGACAGAATTAGATATCTGTATCAGTACTTAAAGGTAGTAATAGAAGGAAAGTATTTTTGTGTGTGTTCTGAAAACAAAAATAAGTAGAATAGGTATGTTCTTGTGGAAGACTGCTGCTTCTGTATAGCAGAATTTAGGCTACTTTTTCCTTTCGCTGAAATGTTAACACAGCACTGACTTACGCCATTAAGACTGACTGTCTTTTGAAACATGGCCTGCAATATGTCTGTCCTTTCCTGTCTGTCTTTTCATATCAAAAATTGAAACGTAAGTGAAGATGACTCAGGGGGGCAAGGTCAAAATTGTTCCTAAAAGATGCAGCTTTGGAAATGCTTCATTGTAGCTGTTCTAAATCTGTTAGATGCGGGCTACTCGGCGCTGATAGGAACGGATGCTGTTGTCGTGCTGTTCTTAAAATTGCATTAATCAGGAAAAGGGACGAGGGAAAAAAACAACCCTTAAGTTTCTTATCAGGATGTTATATCCTCTTTAAAACATGTTGGAGGAGGGAGCTAGGGAGTTGTATCATTTTAACTCATTGTAGACGGAGGCATAAGCCGGATGATGACTGCAGACTCACACCTTGCGGGAACTGGTGGGAAATACACACGTTGTGGAGGAAAGAGTTAAAATAATCTCCTTCTGCCAGCTGTGTAGCTAAGCAGCTGAGACGCGCAGATAAAGGAACAGGCCTGTGATACTGTGACTCTGCGTGCTTGCAGCGGTCCAAGTGGCCTGAGACTTGAAGGAAGTAAATGGTGTGATTTTTGTTCTTGATAATAAATATTTTATCTCTTAACGTGCCTTGAAAGTTCTGGGCCCGTGTAATTATTTACTTTCACGGAGGTAGAGCAAAGTTATCCGTGGTGCCTGGTCTGTGGAGGTAGCGGGAAACGTGGACAGAGCTGCTCAGCCTTGCTGCTGTCGCTGGTCTGTGGAGGAGGGAGGGAGGCAGGAGTGCTGTGAATACAAACTAGGCTCTTTGCATTCTTGAGTGGTTTTTGCATGGTTTTAATGTCTCTTTGTTCTCTAGCACCGCTCTATACATCAAATACATGTTCTTGCATAAGCACGGACTTCCCCTTTTAAAACAAAATGCTTGAATATGTTGCACCTCACCTGAAAGTACCTGCTAGACTTTCTGATGTCCTAAACGTTGTTTGCTTTAAAGGAATGTAAATCCATCAGTTGATGTCAATTCTATATACAAACGTGTTTGAATCCTCTAATTCAAGCATATGAATTCATCGGCTTGCTAGGGGAGTTTCAAAAACGGACTTTTCAGATTTTCTAGCCCTTCCACGCGGCTGCGCGGGTTGAGCCGCAGTCTCTGTGGGCCTGCGGCCAGGGCAGCATTGAGCAGCACGCTGCCGCTCCAGAGCTGCTCCCGTGGCCCCGAAAGCAAGTGGCCAGATGTCACCAGAAGCTCGTGCAGAGATCTAGCTAAGCTGGTGTCCCTTTTTTGATTGCAGTATTGTGGTTGTACTGAGCTGGATAATTGATTTTTTTTTTTTTTTTCCCCCACACTGGAAAAGGACCATAGAAGAATATCTTCATCATTATAGAGCTCTTAAATGCCAACTAGTACTTGAAGAACCGAGTGAAGTTCCTGTTCCGTCATGAACAACCACGTAGACTAAAGTAGAGGGGCAGGTTTTTGAATTTCTGGACACTGATACAAATATTCTCTCAATGGTTTTTGCACCTTGTTCGCAGTGAGGAATAGCTGGGTAAATGCTAGCTTATAGTGGGGTCTCTGGAGGCTTCCATTAGTTACAAATTTGAAATTTAAAAAGCATTTTCTAGATCTCTTGAACACAAATGCTTAAATCCCTTTTTCTGTGAGAATAAAACTCGTGGGCTGGTTCTGCCTCATCTCTGTTTTGAATAGAAATCTAAGCATATCCATTTATAGTACATTGACTGTACGTATTTGTAAATCTTACTGCTCATGTTGTAGCAATGGCATTGGTGCTTTCATCTTTCTTGGGTAGTCTGTATCGATGTGTGGGAGCTCTGAACTGGCCGAAATTCCTCAGTCATGAGCCTGAATGGCTTTCAGTAATTGTTCCCTGTCTCTCCATCTTCAGAAGCTGAATAATTCTCCCTCTCCCTGCCTTAGATTATTATCAAGGTGTTTTTGTTTTCCTAGCACTCTTGTACCTAGAATAACAGACTGTTGTTAATCTGCAAAACTTGAATTCAACTTTTTGAATGATCAGGTGACTTTTGGATTTTAATGTAATTCTTTCTGTCTCCGACAGGGCCGGGTAGTTGAGAATATTTCTAAAAGATGTGGGGGTTTCTTGCGGCAGTTAAGCCTGCGTGGCTGTCAAGAAGTGGGAGACAATGCATTAAGGTAGTGGTACGGCTTCTTTCTGCTCTTAAATGTGGTGTAAAGAACGATTCGGTTTCTACAACCACAGAGGATTGGAATAATTTATGAACGCTTCGGAAACAAGTTCTTTAGCCTGTGTGTCTAACTTAAAACATCGAAAGCGGTAACATACAAGCCTTTTTAATTTACCATTTTTTAACTTCATGCAGTAGCCATTTTTCTCAATTCTTGTTAAAATAATGCCAGCTGTTGCTACAGGCTAAGTAGTAATTGGCACTGAATTAGAAGCTTTTGCCTTTAGGCTGGGAAATCCCAAGGCAAGATACGGAACAACATAAATAATGTATTTTATTTATTTATTTACTCATTATTTATTTATGTATTCATTTTGTTTGAGACAATGTTGTAAAATTGTATCTGATGTGTTATGGTTAAAACAAATGCTGTTAAAAAAACCCAAACAAACTGGAAGTTAAATATTGCCTGAAAAATACTGCTTTCCTTTTCCTTTAATAAAGGACATTTGCCCAGAACTGCAGAAATATTGAAGTATTGAACCTAAATGGCTGTACCAAGATCACAGATGCGTGAGTAACGTTCTCATCTCCGTTTGCCCTGTCTTCCCCTTTTCTGTGTGCACCGTGTTACATTCTCCATCCCTTTTTTTTTTTTTCTTTTTAAGGGAAGGCCAGGCTTGTGCGTGCGGTAGATAATACAGTGCATGTCATATGAAATGTATATGACTTTGAATAAATCTGTTGCATGAGTGTGTCTTGTATGTTCTCTTTCAGTACGTGTACCAGCCTCGGTAAGTTCTGCTCTAAACTCAGGCACCTTGATTTGGCTTCCTGCATTTCCATAACCAACCTGTCTCTGAAAGCACTGAGGTAGGAGTCAACAACATTGACTTTTGCCAGTTGTTTCCAGATAGTTTGATCCACCATTGCCCCATGTGTCTCTTGTGCCTTGGAGGAGACTGATGTAGGCTGACATAGGCTGAGGTGTAACTGTGATTAGAATTCAGGCCTTCCCCAGCAGAGCTCAGCATTCGCACGTTGTGCCTCCTCGTTTGCCGAGGCAGAGGAGGACGACTCGGTTAAAAGCTGCCCTTGACCTTTTTTGTATCTGTCCTAATAGTTATTAGCAGTAGAAGAAGAATTATATTCTATTAAAAGTCTTGGAGGAGGGATTTCTGGGGAGACTAAAGTCTTAGTCTGCCTTTTTAAAATGCTCATTTACTAACAGTCAACTTCTTTGTTGTAAGTGTACCATTGCGTATTTAGCAGTTGTTTACGTAGCTAGAAGGTGAACACCAGCATGTGACTTATTTGTCTTTTTAAACTGCTTAGGAGACATATAACTGCTTAAATGTGCTAAGTGGAATTTCCAAGTAATCTAGAAAAGGAAGGGATAGACAGACATTGGTGGGAAGATATTGGGACAGAGAAAAGGAGGCAAAAAAACCCACTAAAGGTAACAGTAGAGGCCACGCTATTAAAAAAAAATTCAAGCGATATACCAGTGGAATAAAAGAAAATACAGGAAAGCTGTATCACAGGGGGAAAGAATACTGGAGGGTGAATCTAAACACCAGAAGAAAACACAGATTTGAAAGAACAAATGAATGATTAAATTATTTCTGTAGCTACATGAAAATACTTTGAGCCTGGTTTTTCCTTCCCTTGAGGGTCTTCATCCTTGTCTCTAATTTCACGTGGTCAAATTTGTGCTGCAGCTATCTTAAATATATGATAGCATGTATCTCTCTTCCTAATTACAAATTACGCTTGAGTGTTACTCCTGCTGGCAGCTATTTGCAAATGCAAAGTTACACCTGGAAAGTTAGAAGCAGCATGGCAGGAATCAGCCCTATCTGTGGTTTTTGTTGAGGGTGGTTTGGCTGTATTTAGATCCAGAAAGCCCATAGTGTCTGTCCTTGTTTAGGAGCGGGGAGGCGTCCAAAATGGGATAAATCGGTGGTCTTCTACCCTACTAACACCCTGCTTTAGAGCTCCTGATACTGCCTCTGGAGAGCTCTTCGCATCTGGAGATGGTGTTTGACAAACGTGTCCCCCGCGGGTGTGTGGGGCGGTGCGGGTGTACATCTGCGCTCACGTGGGTTCCAGAAATGGGAATTTCCTAGATTCTGGCTTGAAGCAGGATTTCTTTCCAAAACAAAACCAAGCTTCCCACGCTTTTCCTTTCACCTCCAAAGCGAGGGATGCCCACTGCTGGAACAGCTGAATATCTCCTGGTGCGACCAAGTGACTAAGGATGGCATCCAGGCTCTGGTGAGAGGCTGTGGTGGACTCAAAGCCCTGTCTCTGAAAGGCTGCACGCAGGTATGGCTCTATGGAGAGTGCTCAAATTAAATAATAACAGCTGGCTTATTTCTGCTGTAACTGAAAGTAGGGGGATGAAGTATCGTGGATTTTTCTGTTTCCAGAAATGTTACGTTACTGGAATTACTCACAATGTGTCTGTTGGAGATTAACTGCTTTTATTGAAATTCTTTAATAGCTTTGAGCTCAGCATGAATAGTGGGACAGTGAACAAATTGCATATCTAGCTGTAGAATCATTCTTCTTTTTTCCCCGTCGGGAACACATTGAGCAAACTTTCTTAAAGAGGAGATAACTTTGTTATTCATGGCTAGACCCATCAGTTTCTGAAGGCTCGGAAAATTATAGAAAGCACGACTGTACTTTCGTCAGCGCTGGTGATAGAATTTCCTCTACGTGTCGTTTGGATCTTCTAGTTAGTCAAAGAGAGTCACCGTGTATGTGACTCCTTGACAAGATCTCTGCAGCCAGGCAGGAGCACAGCACTATTCCCTCAAGTATATCATACAGCTCTTGAGCTATAACAGTATATTTTGAAGAGGCTGCAGAGACTGCGATGCTTGTACTTTGGAATATATAAATGGTGCACTAACTCTTACAGCCGAAAGGGGTTTTTTTGCCCCCTTGTTATACTTTTTGTTATTTAGACTAACTCCCTTCAATCTTTCTTTACTGTCTTACCTGGTGAATCCTTGAAAAGTTGAATGTGTTAAATACTTCACTGTATTACAACTTTACTAAGGAGTTACATCAATTATGAACCAGGGTATGGGGAACATCAGCCTTGAGCATTACTCTTTTAATGAACAAGAGCTCCTTGCAAAGCTATTTCACAAAGAATGTTGGGACTAAGTAGAAAAAAAAAAAAAAAAAGGAGTTAAGTGGGCTGGGGTCTTTCTAATGCAGACAGATAGGCTAGAAAGGAGCAAATGCGTATCTCGGAATCTTGTCCTTGAAAAAGGAGAGTAAAACTGAACCTGCAGGATTTGAAACCTGTGACCCAGAGACTCCTGAGAGTTTTAAGAGCCTCGAGGTAGACCTGGAAATGATCTCTGATCTGTTAGGTCCTTGTACCCGAACGCTGACAGTGCTTATTTGTTTTGGATTTGGTTTTTTTCCTTGGGCATAGGGATTCCTTAAGTATGAGTCAATAAGTGCCATTTTTGTCTACTGTGTATAGATAAACAGCTATATGTTTTTATTTTGCAAAAAGCATATTTCTCCTGTGCATGGACACAGAAAGTCCTGAGAGCTTGTTATGGTAAGCGAAGCAATAATACACTGGTTATGTGCACAAAGCAGTGATACCCTTGTGCGCGCAAGCAAGCCCAGCTGTAAGGGCTATAGTCAGTAGTTTTTCTAAATTTATACTGCTGTTGGATTTTTAATATGTGAGATGGGTTTACATGGCTGTAAAAATGGCTTGATTAAAGATAGAACAATCTCAGCCTATTTTGAGAATTCGGGTCACAGAAACAGCTTGAGTTTCTAGTAATTTATGGAGTCTTGAGTAATATTGATGGCAATACATCCTTGTTATCAATTACTTGCCATCTGTTCTTACAGATTTAAGAATAGTGGACTTTTTTGTCATCAGAAAGCAACCTGGATATGTTTGTGCTCCTCACATTGAAATAAGACCTTTTTTGAGTTCCAGTATTGCAATATAAAACGGTGTTACTTACAGGTCCTCACTAGTGAAGCATTTCCTTAATTCCTGTAAATAGTTTCTGATTTCACTACTTGCTTTGTTAATTATGCATGTTTGATCAGATCAGCTTTTCTTTAAATCAGTAACTCAGTGTTGTGGGTCTTTGAACTCTGTTCCTGAGACTGGGTTAAAAAAAAAAAAAAAGGCAAAAAAAAAAAAGGCATGCAGTTATTGCTGTGTATTTTGAGATTGCAGTGCATTGCCCTCCTCCCCCATAGCTATCCAAACCACAGATGCTTTATTGTTCTCAAAGCTTTATTTTGAAGACTGCTTCAAGTATTAACAGGTTGCTTCTGTCTCTAAATTTTTTCTTTCCGTCTTGAGGATGAAGCTCTGAAATACATTGGTGCACACTGTCCTGAACTGGTGACTTTAAACCTCCAAACATGCTTAGTAAGTAAAGCTTCCTATGATTTCCTAACTCAGCCATTGTTGTGCATTTAGAGGCCGTCCCTAAGCAGAACCATGCAGAACGTACTCCATCCCAGAAACGTCATCATCTGTGCAGACAGGGCAATTGTAAATTTACGAGACTTTTAAAAATAGTTGATGAAAAACAGCTTTTTGGTAGCATTCAGTAATGTTGAATAAGCCCCCAAAACGGCGTCATAGCATTCACTTTATCAGAATTGTTTGTCTCTTTGCCCTGCCCATGGGGCTTCTAAACTCATTTCCAGGACTAGTTGGAAAAATTCTTTCCGTCAGGCTGGAGTGTTTGTGTGGTGATCTAGCCAGGCGGTTCCTCCGGTCTCTTTATGAAATTGAACCAAGAAGTGCAGTTTCCCTGCACAGAAGGGCTGTAAACCCATTATTCTGCAGTGCCAAAAATGTATATTTATGCCAAAAGAGAAATTGGAACGGGCTCTTTGTACATACCTTCGTGCAGTGAGTCTGATGCAGTCGGGAACTGGGCAGTCTCTTCCACAGAAGTGGGCAAGGCCTTTGGGGGCTGCAGGGCTGTCCTTTCCCGGTCCCGTTTGAGGAGTGGCTTTACCAGTTACTGGACTGGCTAGGGACTGGTGCCCATCCATCCGAGACTGGGTGCTTGCAAAGGAGGAGCTGGACTGTTAGCAAGTTCCAGACCTGCGTCTGGCGTCTAGGGGAGAGGCAGGAAGGGGAGAGGCAAGCAGGTGGAAGGGAGAAGAAAACTGATAAGGTTCTTGATCTCCTGAACTGAAAATACCAAGTTCTCCTCAGTTTCTGTTTCATCTCACTCCAGCGCTGGGGCTTACCAGCCCACAGACTTGCTGTTTGCTATTTTAAAAGCAGCAGTGCCAGTCCCTAGGTTGGTGCTTTTCTGTGGCAATTGAGCCTGGCTGCCTCTGAAAAATCCAGAACCGAAGAACTGAGGGAGGCTTAACCTGCTCCTCCAGCATGCACACGGCCTCTGCCACTTGTTGTCCTTTTTCCCTCATCCCGCTGCGTGCGCTGCTCTTGATCCCGTGCGGCTCCTCGACGCGGCCACGCCGCGTCCCAGCCCTTTGTGCTCATGCGGGGAAGCATCTGGAGCAGATTTGTGCGCTGTTGCCAGCCCAGATTTGTGAGCAGAGCACGCGGGGCTGGACGGACCCTGTGTGTCCGGGGACGCAGCGGGTTGATGGAGCTGGGGTGCCACGGGGTGAATTTAACGTGATCTGGGCTGTAAGCCCGTCTCTCGCAGCTTAGGTTTTGGTCCCAAACCACCAAAGTGTTATTTTTAAAAGGCTGTTTGTGAAAACAACCTGCTGCTTATTTTGTGGGTAACTCTGACTGTTAGGCACTTTTTCCCCTGAGCTTCAGCCAAGAAAGTCTTAACAAGCGAGGGCTGCAGAGGAAGGCAGGGGACTGAGTCTAGGCCTGCAGCTACCGTGCCTTCCCCCGTCGCTCACGTGGCCCAAGCTCAGAAACATTTCCGTGCATGTGGAATCACTTTCCGAATGTTTACAAGTCACTTCAGTGTGGCTTATCCTGTTTCGGCTGCTCCAGTGAAATATTTGAGCGCATTTTTGGGTTGAAAGAAGCATAACTTGGCCTCAGTGAAGTGCCCGGTTGGAAGTCTGAGAAGGAAAATATGCAGTGCCTTGCACCTCCACCTACGTTGTTATGGCTTGTGATGGTGTTATTGTTTTTCTTGTAGCAAATAACAGATGATGGTCTCATTACAATATGCAGAGGATGCCACAAGTTACAATCCTTGTGTGCTTCAGGCTGCTCTAACATTACAGATGCCGTCTTGAACGCCCTGGGACAGAACTGCCCACGGCTTAGGTAAGTTTTCATGCAGAGTTACCTGAGCTCCAGTGACCCACTGCATGTTGACCAAAGGCTCTTGGTGACACGGTCGTGTAATATTTGAGCCATTTTAGACTCTAATGTCTTTCTGAAAGTGCGCTTTTTATCACTGAGCTTTTTCCAGGCGTTTGCTGGGGGAAGGTCGTCGTTTTACCCAAACTTCTGGTTTCTAAACTTGTGCGAGTGAAACAGTGGTAAAAGAGCTCCGTGCCGTGGTGGTGTGCACTGCCAATAGACTCGCTTAGTAGCAGTTCTGTTCTTCTATTTCTGTTCTTCTATGAAAAACAGTTAAGGTTAGGTTCATTTTGTATTGGGAACTGAAAACACATTTAAACAACATTGTTTCCTCTTGACATGTGACATTAACAGGGTTTTCATGATGATTTTGTAGCAGACAAAATTTGTGCTAACTTTCACTCTGCTTGACAGAGTGGGCTTCCAGTGACATCTCTGCAGGTGTTTCCTTTATTTTTTTAAGACCTTTTTTTTTATTAGGACAAGTTTCTTCAGGAAGACTTCACTATAATTCAGAAAATGGCCAGGTGCAGAAAGAAGAGACAGTTTCATTATCTGATATCTGTAACAGCTGAGTGGCCTGTTTTAAATGGCATAAAATACATGCCTTCGGGGGGGGGGGGGGGAACCCACAACTGTTTTCTGTGAGAAGCTCATTTAAAGAATTATGGGTACAAAGTGCAGCATACAAGTGTATGGAAACCAGTTGTGAAAGAGGAAGGTAAAACATGGTTTTGGTTCCAAATGGCTCCTGTGTTTATGTTCAGCTGCAGCTTTACAGTATTAAGCTCCATACGGTAAAATGCATAACGCGCTTTAGGCAAGTTGGCTTTCTTTTCTGTAAAGGTGGATAAATACGTTAATGTTGCGAAGCAAACCCCTGTAGAGCTGCGGTAACTGTCTGCCAGCAAGTTTATCTGTTATCACAGAAGCAAGCAGTTCGCCTCTTAGAAGACTTCAGACGCTTCTGTCGTGGCATTAAATATTTATTCTTTTCATGCCCATCTGCCAGGTTGTCGTGTATTACACCCTTTTTCACAACAGGATCTGTATTTTGGGTGGAAGGCAGAGGAGATTGCTTGGGAGGTTGTGGAGTGTCCAGCAGTGAAGGTTTTTAAGAGCACCTTAGTCCAACATGTGTCGGATTAGACCTCCCTGCCTCGTAGCGGGGCACGGGCTGGATGACCCTTGGAGTTCCCTTTTAGCCTGACTTCTTTTTTTCTTTCCCTGTGACCTACACTCAGGTATAGAGGGGTGGATACTCTGTGCAAATTATCCTCTCAGAGAACACAGCCTAAACCAGGTCAAACTTTTCTGGGTTGCTGGAAGCTTTTAATGAAATACTCTGAAAAGCAAAATGACTCCACCATGGTTATTATAAATTCTTTCTGTGCAGAATATTAGAAGTTGCAAGGTGTTCTCAACTAACAGATGTGGGCTTTACCACTCTAGCTAGGGTAAGTGCTCGTTTCCACTTTTTCATCAAGTATCTTTGCTTTCCTTTCGTGATAGATATGAACAAACAGTGGCTTTCTCTTGAATGTAGATTTTTGTAATGCTTTGGATGTCGACGTTTGAGTGGGAGCTAAGTTACAAAAATTAAGTTGTATGTAATTTTTGGCATTGTCCTGACCCACACATCTAGGAGAATGTGCATCCAAACTACTTGAAATGTTAAGTACTTGAGAGTTATGAACTTTACCGTTTGTTTTTTCTAGATTAATCTGTGTTCTATACAACTGACCCTAAATTTAACCTCCTTTACTTTCTATGAATAAAAAACCTCGGTGCCTTTAAATGAGTGAAATTGCTAGATTGCCTTTACTATATTTGGTAGCGTTCGTAAAGAAGCAGCAAACTTTCCTTTCCCTCATGATGTTTCATGGAAGAAAAACCTTCATTTTTAAAAAGGACTGGTTTATTGTAGTTGTGTTTATATTTGCTGTCTGAACTTTGAACGCACAAACTAAGTGCAATCTTTTGTTTGTTCCTAGAACTGCCACGAGCTTGAAAAAATGGACCTGGAAGAGTGCGTCCAGGTAGGAGGTGCCACCTCTGGCTGTTACTTTTTTTAGCACAGTCACAGCAGCGTGGAAAGATTGTGAAAAAGTAGATTGTCTCTAAATCAGAACTTGATTTAGAATCCTGAGCAAGAAGATCGGGTGTATTTGGATAAGAAAACATTACTTTTGCGGTTTGGTCCTTTGTTCATATTTCATAGTAATGAATGCTACTGTAAATAATAAAAGAAATCTTTCATAAGAATAGATGTGTCCTGAAGGTCATGTAATAGATGTGTGAATTGTGACCCTTGACACAAGATAAAGTCCCAGAGTGAGATCTCTGTGTGTAAGGCAAGGGAAGGTTTGTGAGAGATAGATAGATATATATATATATATATGTATCTATATATATCTCTTGCTAGAAATAATGGAAGTTAGCTCTGTTTTGAAAAAACATAGCCAGATTGTTTGAACAGCAATGATTTTATAAAGGACACGGCAACAACTTGAAATAAAGCTGGGGTGCCCGTGCTACCCTGAGCCTTCCTCAAAGGCAGTGGGATGTAATGAGGCTGTTATTGTTGAGTCTCTTATAACCCTGTGCTGCAGCTGTCTTCGTTAGTTTTAAGGAGGTCTCTTATATGTGACTACGCACTGTTCTGTAGGGTATGTGCCATAAGGTGATAACCATTTCAAGGTAGCATTTACAGGGGAAAATAGTTGAATTTACTCAAGAGTCCATGAAAAATCTCTAACCCAAAGGATAGATTTGAAATCGATTCAGATACAGACAGTGGAGATAATAGGATTTTGCTTCCTGCCAAGAGAACAGCGTGACCCCAGTATTCTGTACTTCCTGATGTTTACAGGGCAGAAATTCAGGAGATCACAAGCGGAAATTACGGTAGTCCAGACAGGAAGTGATTTAAAGTTAACCCAAAAAAGGAAGAAGAAAAATTGGGCTGTGTCCTTGGACTGACTGCATTGAACAAAGACAGCCCAGCAAGTTCCCTTCTGAATGCTTTTAGATTAGAAAGCCATTGTGTTGAGTCTCTTTCTTCCTGAAGAATAAAGAGGAACGATTCAGCAGTCCACCAAGCTGTTGGAAGGGGATTTGGACACCTCTTGTACTTTCAGAGACAAACATTTAGGAGACATTGGGGTGTTGAAGAGGTCTTCTCACTTGCTTCTATTAACTGGGAGCTTATTTCATGAGAGCTACTTAAGGAAGCTCAAAAAACCCAATACCTGTGTCTTAGCAGTCCTTTAAGGACATGAGTTGATTTCTGTAAGGGAGTGGAAGAATCTGTACATCTGAAACTTGGTCACACAGGAGATGAGTTCCTGTGGGGAACGCTGTCAGGGATTAGGCAAAAGTTTGCAGTTTTTCCTTTGTAGGGGGGAAAAAAAGTCCTTGTGCAGAGCACCCAGCATGAAAGGGCTTTTTCTTTTTTTCTTTTTCAGATAACAGACAGTACACTAATCCAGCTTTCCATACACTGTCCACGGCTTCAGGCTCTGGTGAGTATTACAAGTGAGACCTTTCAGCATTTTCTTTTTATAAACAAAGGGATTTTAAGCACTGCCCATGGGGATTTGTGTCTCTGACTTCATAGACGTGTTGCGAAGGCTTGGAAGAATTCGGCTAGAAACTTGACCCTGAAGAACCTATTGTCCCTCCCCTACTGCTAGCATTAATCATATGCCAGGCACCCACAGCTGCCTGAAAATTAATTATAGGACACTGGATTCTCCTGGTACCAGCCTCTGGCTGTCCTCAGCAAACCTAGCAGAATCTGTCTACAGACTGGGCTGTCAGTCCATCCATGGGAGAGGAGACCGCAGCTCTTCTCACCTGTAGTATGGAGCTGGGCAGCTGAGACCTGGAAAGCCTTGCTGGCTCTGGAAAGCAATGCTCCTCTTGGTCTAAATTTCTGGGAATTTAGTCTCGGCCTCCTCTGCGTCCCTGTGTGTATTGCTCCGTCGTCATCATGAGAAAACCTGTCCTGGGAGGTGGGGGGATACAGTCAGTGGGTTCTCCTGTGCAGCCATCTGTTCTGCACGCTGTGCCTGTCAACACAGCAACAGGCTGATGCTGTCTCCTAATTCAAGCCCCACTTCCTTCTCGAGAACTTTTAAGATGCAGCCCCTCCAAAAAATGCACCAAGTAGGTGACATTGTATTTCTGCTGGTTCTTAGACCCAGTGACAAGGTCCTTCCTGTGATGTGTAAAGCCACAGATTTTACAAATGTAGTTTCTTCGATAGCAGAGGTATTTGCTCCATTTCTGTGCCGTCCTGGCCCCGTTGGTCTCCGTTCAGCAGCTGCCTTTCCCATTGTGCTTTGGCTATGGGTTTTCCCCTTGCAGGCACATTGGTCGTTGGAGGCCCCCAGAGCCCGGCGCCTGGAGCGCAGCAGTGGCTCCGGTGCAAGGAGGGAGTATAGACCCGTCCAAAAAACCAGTGTGGCAAACCAGTCCAAACCTGTGAAATGTGGGCCATCTTCTCTCTCATCCCACAGTGTCCCCCGGCAGGGTGTTGGCTTCTGTGTGCCGATAGCAGAGGCTGCTAACTTGCTGTGTTTTGGATGTAGAGTTTGTCCCACTGTGAGCTGATCACGGACGACGGGATTCGTCACTTGGGAAACGGCGCCTGCGCACACGATCGCTTGGAGGTGATCGAGCTGGACAACTGCCCTTTGATCACGGATGCCTCCCTGGAGCACCTGAAAAGCTGCCACAGCTTGAAGAGGATAGAACTGTACGACTGTCAGCAAATCACGCGGGCAGGGATCAAGAGACTCAAGGTAAAAAAAAAAAAAAAACCAACACTGCTAAGGCTATGACTTGAACGCTTTATCCGGTGGGAGGAGGGGGGGGGCTGAGGTTTCAGATTCCTCACAATCTGGTGCTTATTCTTAAAAGTATTGTGAGAACCATCATCTATGAAATTAATAGCTGTCCTGCACTCAGCAGATTGGATGGGGATGAATGGTAGCTGGTAGGGAAGAGAGATAATTGCTGTGTTCACTGAGTAGTAGCAGAAAGGAACAGAGGAGACCCAGCGTGCAAGCGCTCATTTTACAAGCACTCGTACACGACGGCGCTCTCCTAAACGTGGGACCGCGAGTTAGTGCCACAGCAAAGGTGTAGAATGGCACCTCCTCTCGACGACTTTATATGCTCGGCGTAGATTGCAGTGCACTTTATACTGACACCTCCCATATAAATAACTCCAGCTAATCCTGTAATAAAGCCAGGCTGTTGTAGGGAGGCTGCGTGTCCCTGCGAGTGCGACAGAGCCGGGGCTGCTCTGTCGCTGGCTGCTGGGCGTCTGAGGCACTCCGTGTCCCAGTGATTTCCCTCCTGCGTCTATTCCTCCATTTGTAAAAGAGGTGTAATGATAACATTTTATTTGCAAAGAGAACACAGATCCGTACAGTTAAATGTTCTGTTTCCTCATGGCTGCCACAGGCTTAATGGCGAGGAAAGAGCATCGTTTTTTCCTGCTGCCTGTAACTGTTTTCTGGTAACAAAGAACTTGCTAATCCAGTCTGTGGGGAAATCATGCTGGTGAACTGAAAGTTCAGCTCTAGTTTTTATGCGTGTGTTAGTTTGTAGTCTGAAAACGAGTAAGCCAGGCCTATTTCAACTGCTCTTTGACTCTTGCGCTGCCACTACCCTTGTCACTTTACACATTGTGTTTGTCTTTTCAGACCCATTTACCCAATATTAAAATCCTTGCCTACTTCGCGCCTGTGACTCCACCTCCTTCGGTCGGGGGCAGCAGACAACGCTTCTGCAGATGTTGCATCATCCTATGACACTGGAAGTGGTCATCCTTGCAAACTGAGTATTTAATTACCCTTGTAGAATTACGGTGGACACCAGTATCTTCAAGGAAAGCGATACCAGTGTCATTTGCAAGGGCCAGTGAGCAGGGCTGTGGTGCCAGGCCCCTGTAGCCACCCATACACATACATATACACACCCCACCTGTTCCAGCAAACTGATGAACTCTGCAGTATGGGAGCTGGAGCTGTGTTGGCGTTTTCTGTAGGTGGATTGGTATAATTCTGAACCATTCCTACTGGGCATGCTCAGATGAAATCGTTGCGGTAAGGAGGGGAGGCTTTTGCGAACCCAGAATGACTGTCGCTGCTGATGAGGTTGGAATAGTAACTGAAATCCTTTGAAATGGGGAGAGGGGGAGAGGAAAGGAACATGCTTTAACCCTGCATCTGTTGTCCAGAAGACAAAAAGGAAAAAAAAAAAAACCACACACGAAAAAAACCCCCAACAAAACCAAACCTGAAAATCCCAACAAGTTTCGCGTCCATTTTTCAGTGAGGGAATGAAACAGCAGCTGTTGTGAGACATGATTTACTTGTGCTTCTCTACTTCCCATTCCCTGCTGACCACCCTGAGCATGCTCACATTGAAGGTTCATCTGTTTCTTCTGTGTTCTGTAGCGTCCAGCTCAGAGGCTTCCTAGATTGTTGTGATATAGCTTGAAATCTGTAATGTCAGGCTCATTTTCTTTACCCTCCCTACATCCTGCTTTTTTTTTTACAGATTTCTTAGTTCAGTAATTTGTTGAGATTTACCAAACAAAAGCTACGAATCAATAATTTAAATTTAAAAAAAAAAAAAAAAAAGGACTTTATACCATTAGAAGCCTGATGAGCCTGTAACGACCTGTTTGGAAGTTTTTAAAATGACAAGTGAGCTGCACTACAGGCTAGGCTCCTGTAGGCTTCTTGGTCTGTTTTTGTCGGCGACTGGGTGTCTGAATTTGTTTTGCGTTTCAGGTTTTATCCCAGCAACAAGAATATAATTCTTGATATAGGGAAAAAGTTACAGTCTCTGTTCCAGCGACTGTAAGTTCCCTACTCCTGCTGTCCTTTCTCTCCAACCTTTCATCCTGCCCCCAAGGAAAAGCAAAGTAGAATCTTCTTGCTTGTTGCCCTGATCAAGGAATAATGACTTGCTAATGGAAGCGGGAGGAACAGCAGGCCTGAAAATACGCCCTCGATTATTGTCAATTTTTTTTTTTGTACGCTGAGGTGCGAGCGCTGGGTGATTTTGCTGACTCTTGCATCTTCTGCAGGTAAGTGGCTTGCCCTGGAGAAGGAACCATCTGAATGAAGTGGGGGTTTGCTATGTGCCAGTCCTTCCCAGCTTGTCAGGGTACGTGTTCGTAGCAGCTGGTTTTGAGGAATTTCAGGCAAGATTAGCCCAGGTCCTTCAGAGGAGCGTAGACAGCCCCGGCCAGCTCTGAACTCCCAGTTCCTTGACGCTGGCAGTTCCAGATGCCCAGTATGAAACATGGGAACAGATGGGCAGATGCCACATGTTTAATGGGGCAGAACTTGGTCAAACTCTAACAGGTTTGTGGAAGATGAGCTGACGTGTAAGTAATTGCGCTCTTCCTGCTGTCTGCACCCCGGGGTGGAAGGGAGCGCACGTGTTTATGGATGGCTCCCAGCTGACCGAGACGGAGAGGAGCAAGTCTCTTTAATCATCCTGGCTGCCAGCAGCCAAGGAAGTGCTGCCTCACCTTGATGCTGAAGAATCTTATGATGGGGTGAGAGCTGGATGCAGCACGAGGAATCGCTGTTTTAGGGTTCCAGGGGCTTCTTTTTTCACTGTGGGTTTGCTTTGAGGACAGTGTGTTGCTTCCCAACCCTCTTATCACCGTCTGAGCTATTCAGGCAGGCAGAAGGGTCGCTTAGTACCACCGAAGCTGTTAATCGCCTTCATCTACAACTTAGATTTCCCTGACCCATCTGTATATGCTTAACAAAGTCTCGCAGATGCACAGTCTGCTGGGAGGAAATCCAGTATGCTGTGTTTAAAAGGATACTGTCAATTCCTTTCCTGTAGATCGCTTTTAATCCGTTATATTTATTCAAATCCTCTTTAGCGCTGTGGATTCTCTCTCTCTCTCTCTCTCCTCGACGAGCATGTTCCTATACTTCATTTGCAGAGCTCCTTTCTCCGATTTTCAGGGTGGCAGAAGATAATGGCGCTTCCCAGGGTCGCAGACTGACTCTGGACGGGCGGGTGTGCCTGGGGCAGCACCCAGCAATCACAGTATTTGCACAGCTCTGGGAAGAACACTTGGCTTAGTTTATACTGTGGCAAGGGAGAGCTAAAATGGATTTGCAAGCCAGAGCGTAGTTGGCTGACTGATTTCTTTGTAACAGAGCAGAGTTTTCAAGGGAAAACTCGAGAATACAGAACCCAAAGCGTTTTTTTTTTTTTTTTTTTCCCCTCCAAACAGGGTGACAGCATTAAGGTAGCTCAAACTACTTGACAGTGTCCTTTTAAGTCAATTATCCGTCTTCAAATGGACTCTTTATGTTTGTATTTATAAATACCAATAAACACCATTTTCCAAGCTGTGTCTTGCTAGAGGAATACCTTTGTAGAAGAAAAAAAAAAAAAAAAAAGAACCACCAAAAAAAAACCCGTCCTGCACGTGACAGCATACCGGACGTGGGCTGTGTTTGGGAATGCTGTTTCTGCTCTGCATGCGTCTTGTCTCTGCCGGGCTGGTGGCGAGCTGAGCTGGAGGAGCGCTGGGTGCTGGCCCTGGCTTTGACGGGGTGCATGGAGGGGCCCCCCGGCGCTGCCGTTCGGGGCCCAGCGCTGGGAGGAATGTCTTTGTTTTGAGGGGTAAGTGATGCAAAATGGTGGCTCTACTGGGAAGGCTCAGGGAGGAGCGAGCCCTGACTGAAAAGCAAATCAGTTTGCAAGCTCCCTACTTGCGCCAAGCGCGTCTTTTCCAGCCTCTGCGCTAGACGAGCAGGACAAGGCAGAGCCTTGATTCGAGACCGTGGGCTGTTCGCTATACATTGGCGAACATATATATACACACACATATACTTTCCTTGCCCTCCCTTGAAAACCGGAGTGTGCCCCCGAACCCTAAGATGCTTCTGTCGAAGCTGCGTC